CAGCCAGCCCCCACTCCAGCCCTGCTTCCGCCCCCCGCCCGCCGATCTCCCATAGACAGCCCTGCTGCGCCAACCCCCCATCTCCCTCAAGCCCTGCTTCCTGGTGGCCGGTTTCCCCTCCACACACACACCCCTCTTCCCCGCCAGCCCCACTCCCCTCCTGGCATCCATGCTGAGGCCCGGTATTTTTTTCCCCCCGCCCCTCAGTAGCAGGCCGCGGCCCATAGTTTGGGAAACGCTGATGTAATTCATAAGTAAGAAGCAGCATAGAAGACAGCATCAAATGCAAGAAACAAACAAGACAGGTTTCAAGGCTGATATTGTTGATCAAGCAAGAGGTACAGAAGGAACAAGAGGATCCAGGACCATACGTGTAAGACAGGACGGAGCTTTGATGCAGCTGTAAGGGGTGTCTAATGGTCAGGACAGAAGATCACAGTTCTGGTGGCCATGCTGTGTGTCTGGAGTTTAAAAGCAGAGGGAGGTGTAAAGTAGACTAGAGAAGAGGTGGTTGCAGTTATTAAAATATGTAGGATCTCAAGGATGTAAATGAGTAATAGCAATGAAGAAGAGGGGGCCTAGCAGAGTTGTCCCCAACAATGTGCCACAAGTGGATGGCAATGTACCGGTAAACACTTGCTCATGCAAGACCACCCCGTTGACATCAGTGAAATTATTCACATTAATAAGGGCTTGAAGATTTGGGTCATTAACACACTTCGGAACTCTTCTACATGGAATTATGAACAAAGAACTTTTGTATTTTTAAGCAGTTAGGAACTAATTTGTTAATCCCTGCAAGAACGGTAAAGAGGGAACTAATTAAAGGTATCCTAAAGAATGCAATACTAATACTCCAAGAAGACAGACGATGGAATAACTGTTCCATCTACCCAAAGTCTGTTGCAACACAATGCACTGCACTTTAGTCATTGTGTTCTCTTGCTTGACACTCAAGAATACATTTCAGACATGGAAAATGTTGCTTATACACTAACCTTTCCTAAAACAGCTGCGCTGCTTCACCAAACCATTGTTTTGCCTTACATAAGAGCCACTCAGCACATTTAATCCACTTATCTGGGCACCGAGGGAATCAGATCAAAGACCAAATTATGACCGTTTTTAAATTAAAAAGCCTTCAATGAAAGTGTAGCTACTCCCGAAAGCAGCAATGTGCTTTCATCACAGAAACAGCTACCCAGACATTCTTCCCTGACAGGGAACACTGAACCTTACATTCTTACACTGCAGGACTAATGTTAAGACTTTTTGCTATTCCCCTCCCACCCACCTTCTCCACATACTACTTTTAGATAATCTACCACATTTGAGAGAAGGCAACATTCTGGATTGCTTATTAGCAGCAGTTTTGTTCTTCCAAATGTCACTCACAAAGGTTTATTTGTTTGTTGTTTTTCTTATCTCCTTAAAGTGTGACAGTGCTACAAATGATTTCAGTCCAAATCTTGATCCTATTGGAATCAATGGCTGTTTTGCTATTCATTTCAATGCAACCAGGAATTGAGCATTTAATAGTTTCAAGTGGGTGGGTGAAAAGCAGACTTTTGTTATAACAACTATTTAAAAAAGGAGAATTAAGAAAAAACGTGGTTTGATCCTTTTCTCTGTAAAGCACTTAAACTGGTAAATAATTGTGGGTCTAGAAATACAGAAGTGACAGCACTACTGCAGGTCTAGAGCGGATCTGCAGCTGAAAAACTCTTCATCTCAAGGACTTGATCTAATGCCCATTTACTCCACTGAGCTCCAATTGAACCCACAAAGAACTAAATGGGTAACTTCTCAGGAGAAGCCATGAGTAGCTATTTCAAAAAGTTTAAACCAGGATGCTGTTAAAATGAAAACAAGTTAACAACAGATTCAGGTAATACTTCTAACTCAAATCCCTCGGTCAGGTTCTGTGGTTTTACAATTTCCTTTTTAAAAATTTCCTCCCATCGCTATGTGAGAACTCACAACTAGGGGAAAACTATACACAGAGCTGCTACACAGACAAAGGGAGCCTTTGGGACAAAAATGTAAGTGTAAAGCAATCTCCTCTGAGCTTTTATATATAGTCGTCTTCAGTGTTTTTCCTAATACTAGCACAAGTATGATTAAAAGTGCTAGTTGCGTTCTCCCACTTAGAGAACCAAACTCACACCTGGCCATATATTTAGATTCTGTAGAGGCAGGCTTTTACAGAACTCCAGATTGATGGAAACGATTCCACTCTTTTTTGTTTTGTTTTGTTTTTAACTCCAATGTAAACAGTTGAGCAGAATTATTTTTCAGCTATATTTATGACCAAACATTTAAGCGTATAGAACTGCATGAATCTGAATTGTCCATGAGAATAACAAAGAGTAACTAATAAAAGCAGCTTAGCTAACAGCAGGCTGTGGATTTTTTGAGATTCTAAAGCTGCAATCAGATCTCGATGGGCAGATTCTGGGGATAGTCAGTACAGCTGTGTCGGGGGGCAAATAGGCCCCTCTGAAGGCCAGTCTACACCCACAGGTTGTGTCTCGACTACACCCCTCCACCTACAGAGGGATGTAGATTAGGCACTTCAAAAGTGCAAATGAGCCCGGGATTTAATATCCCAGGTTTGCATACTCATTCCGATGCTGTGCAGATCAGGCTCAGTGTCGAAAGTGAAGGTAAAGTCTAGCCATGGTTCTGCCAACAGCAGGGAGCTTTTTCGGCAGATCCTGTACTCATCAAAAAATGAGGAGTACAGGATCTGCCGAAAAAGCTCCCTGCTGTTGGCAGAACCATGGCTAGACTTTACCTTCACTTTCGACACTGAGCCTGATCTGCACAGCATTGGAACGTGAGTATGCCAATGTAGCCCGGGATATTTAAATCCCAGGCTCATTTGCACTTCCAAAGTGCTTGATTTCCATCCCTCTGTCAGCAGAGGGATGCAGTCTAGACGTAGCCGTATAGTCCAACAGCAGGAGTCAGCAAATATCCAAATCATACCTTAGCAACAGATACTTCTTTTAGGCAATCTCCATGTTTAATTATCTGCAGACTTAGTACTGTATGCAGTGTGACAATGTAAAATGCCGGACAGATTAAATACTGTTTGGAAATTAGATACACATTGGGTGAAAGACTAAGACAGATGCATGTAACTACTTCATTACACAAGTCTATAGGCCTTGCATGCTCCAAAGCTGATTAGAAGTCTGGTGATTAAACCATTATTTTTCAATACCTTGTCCCTCAAACAAGTTGGCTAAGCACAAACTAGAAGCCAAGAACACCCACTCATGGCACCAAGTCAGCAAATCACCCCAGGACTTAATTTCAGAGGTGCAGAGTACCTGTAGCTTCCTATTAACTTCATGCAGGTTTGTGAATGCTGAGCCCCATTAAACAAAAATATGAAGATGCTTTGATTCAGTTTCCCCCTCAAATTTCTATTTGAGAATTGAGGCTGATGAATACTCTTACCTCACTGCACAGGGATAGTGAAACTATGAGACACTCAGATTACATGTCACACCTCTATGTGAAGACTTAAAAAAATGTATTGTAACAAATTAACATTCGAGAGTAGTGTTACTCAGAGATTAGAGAAATTAGCAAGTTTTCCCATTTGATACGAAAATTTTCTATGTAGTCACATATCCATTCCTGTGGGGGTTTCACGTGATGACAGGAAGGAGAAAAATTATTTTAAAGAAAGAATTTTTTTTAAAACAAAGCTAGATAGAAAGGCAGGAGTGTGTTGGGACAGGTAAAATATCAAGAACTACTTTAACCAATTGTAAATGTATATTATAAAAACATTAGATGTCAGGTAGGCCATATATCCCATTTGCTTGTGTTTGGAACCTACTATTATCCTGTACAAAATATCACACCTTTCATGCCCACATGCCTCATTTCTTGTGTTTGTGTTCTTACCTCGTAAGACCAGACACATTGCACTCCTGCAAACCTCCGCACACATCTTCCCACTTCCACATCCTCATGGGTGGTGTACATCTCCCGCAAGCACTGCCCAATGTGAGGCACCATTCTGCGCAGCACCTCCCGGCTCATGATCACTCCAGGCCCTCCCATGCAGAAGTTCTCACCAGGTTCCAAGGCCAGTTTCCCCATCTCTTCAGTGGTGCCAAGCCCAGTTTGTCCGAGGAAGAGGGGTTCACTGCTGTTCAAACTCCTAAGGAAGCTCTCCAGTCTATCCCCTTTAATGTAAACATCATCGTCTGCTCTCATAAACCATTCATATTTGTCCAAGTAGTTGTCATGCATGTACTTGAGCATCATAAAGGATTTCTTCTGGGGTGGGTAGGAGTCATCCACACCTGGTAGCGGGACTATTGGGATTGGAATAGAGGTGTCCGAGCCCTCACTGGAGAAGAATTCGACCTTGCCAGGAATGGTTTTGGACCAGGTTCTAGAATGACAATACAAAAGTTAAGTTTACAGACAGAACACATCACAATCTGAATCAAACATGCAGGAAAAAGTGACTCAGGAGGACCATTACTCCTTTTGTTTTAAGAATTTCCTGCTTTTTAAATTCTTTAGAAGTGCTATCTTCCTTCCACACAAGTGACAGTGGTGCTAAGAACCGTATACGACATATATGACAGCGATTCTCAAACTGTGGGTCACAGCTCCAAAGTGGATTGCAGTCATTGTCCCCTGTAAGCTGTGCGCTTGGGCAACCACCCAGGAGAGATTCAGGTGCAGCCCAGCCGATTAGCAGAGTGCTCACAGCATGTGTTTCTACTGGTGGTGCACATCCACGCATGCCTCCGTGCACACCGCAAAATTTCATATATGGAAGGGAAAAAAATCAGAGGAAACATTGGTTGCAACTTCCGACCCTGTTTTAATGGGGTCATGAAGGCCATCGGTAGATGCAGTGTGGTCCAGGGCTGAAGCCCAAGCCCTATTGCCAGGGACTGAAGCTGAAGTCCATGTGCTTCAGCATGGGGCTCAAGCGTGGACTTCAGCCCCTGCAGCGTGGTGGGACTCAGGTTGCAGCTCCAGCCTGAGGCAGTGAGGCTTAGACTACTGCCCTGTTGCCTAGGTCTGAAGCCTCTGGGCTTCAGCCCCGCATGAATGAAGAGGAGGGAGTGGGGTTGTGTTTGTGAGAAGGAGGTCGCGAGGCAATGAAGTTTGATATACGACATGCAAGTCATTCAACAGGCTATGCTTCTGAGACTAACTTTCTAGTTACAAGACAGGCTAATAATAGTCCTCCTCCAAAACTAAATATAGAATTCTCAGGCGTGTTAGCCTAACTCTGCTCCCACTGAGGTCAAGGGTAAGACCTCCATTGAAGGGAACAATTTTAGGCTACTGCCTAGTGCCCTTGAAAATTCCATCTAAGTCCTTTGGACTATATTACTGTAAAGTATGGAAGACTGGTCAGATGCAGAGGGAAGAACAAGATTTGGGACCTCTAGATCTTGACACAGAAGGTTTTTGCAAAATTTAGGAGGGGATGAAAATCAGTAATTAAAAAAAACCTAAGAATGTAAGTTTGTGCAGAGGTGACAGAATTGACACAAAATAAGCTTCAAACTGTGAAAAGCTTCTCTGCACATCTTTCCGTCCCTGATTCCTCCCACTCTTAATCTATAATTGCAGAGGCACAGAATGAACAGAAAACAGTTTTTGCATCCATTCATGAAAAGTCTGTATTCCACAGAAGAAGAGACTATAGGAGAGAGGGCTAGAGTAGTGGTTTTCAGGAGCTATAGATAGAATAGGTAGAACAGGAAAAGAGCTTGGTCTTCTATGCAGCAACCCACAGTGCAGGTAAAGAAACAGGAAAGCTCAAACTCGCCTAACCCCTACCACCCAGAAATTTATGGAAAAGCAGCACCAAAGAATGGGTCATGGACAGCAGCACAGTAGAATTCTAACAGATGGGCTTCTCTTCTTACCATATTACCCCTCTCTGCCGCATTCTGCATCAGTTTCTGGAGAATAGGAATGCTGATTTTTTTTAAACTACTCAAAACTCTGATATTAAGTGTTTCATAATCTCACAAATTTAGCATCTAATTCAGAAACACAGCATAAGAAACCAAAACCAAAGGAAGAGAAAGAACAATTAAAATGGAGGGTTAAATATAACAGACACCACTTGGGTTGACAGCAGAGTTAGAATTAAACAGAATTAAAAATCAAGAGAAAAACTACCTTCTCAGCTAAAAAAATTAGGGATGAGATTTTCAAACGGCTCAGAGAGACTTAAAATGGCTTTCAATGGAACTAGCACTTCTAGTCACTTAAGCTCATGAATCTGCTACAGATCAGCTCTCAGAAAGAGACAGACCCTTGCTTAAACTGCAGTGGGGGAGGTTTAGGTTGGACATTAGGAAAAACTTCCTAACTGTCAGAGTGGTTATAAACACTAGAATATGTTGCCCAGGGAGGTTGTGGAAGCTCCATCTCTGGAGATATTTAAGAGCAGGTTAGATAGACATCTCTCAGGGATGGTCTAGACACTACTGGGTTCTGCCATGAGGGCAGGGGACTGGACTCGATGACCTCTCAAGGTCCCTTCCAGTTCTAGTGTTCCATGATTCCCCTAAAGAGCTTGGAAAGCACTGAGGTTTCAATAGGGATAGGTAGTTGCACACAAGAAGTGGCAGGCTGTTCCAAGCGTAAGAGGTGTTATGAGACAGAGAAGCTGGGAAAGGAATTTTGATCAGCAATTTTGATCAGGCCCTATTGATTAGGTCTCCTGCCTATAGGAACGGCAGCTAAATTATGTTGATGGATATAAAGACATACCACCTGTCTAACATTTTCACCAGCAGCTTCTAACAAAGCCTGCCTAGAGCATATATACATGGGCAGCTGGCCTCTTTAGCTCATTTGGGACTCCATTTTACACCTCTTCTGAGTCACATTCAAGCAGACTTTTTAGAGCAACTATAGGCAACCTCGGCTAATGAGTGGCTAGCATGAATGGCTCTCCATCTCAGTGAGCTGCAAGACGGTTGTAACCAAGACAGGTTCCTGGGCTAGGGTAATTTTGCTTACTATGCTTGCATATCTAGAATTTGTGGGGTGTTTGAATTGTAGCAATGCTTTGAGGTAGAGGCAGCACACTGATCTCACAGTCAACGGTGTGTCCAGCCAGCACACACTGCACTTCATGTGCCGTTTCTTTACATGCATGTCACTTTATCACCATTAGGGAAAAAACTACAGGTGGAAGCCAGTGGAATCTGGGAACCCTGTGCCTGGGCTACAGTAATCAAAAGTCTCATAGGGCACACATAGGACTGTGATGGTTGTCCATCACTGCTCTAGAGACATCAGGTTACATAGCTATTAAACATTTTATACCCTTGCTCTTAAACAATGCAATTAGTGCTCACTAAGACCAAAAAAAAAAAAAAAGTGTTCTGTGTAGGAAGACATGGAAACAGTTTTAATCAGTAACTGGAGAGTTTTCGCCTTTTATATGAGAAACTTTCTGGTGATGTTAGGCAGCTTTGTTCAGACAATAATCTGCATTCAGCGTCTGATGCAAAAACATTCTTGAGGTGTGAAAAAGAATAGTGTTCCTTTAATGTATCGCTGCTATTTATACCAAGTGTTTCCAACCACAATTTTTTTAGGACTGAAAATAGATTAAGATGTGTTTAGAACGATAGCTGCTAAGAAACTTCATTTTAAAATAATCAGGTAAAATTAAAAGATATTTTAAACTGCTCAAAGAATTGGGCAGTTGGTGTTCAGTTACATCTGGTCATTACAGAAATTTTAATTTCAAAAGTCACAACCATTTACAAGGGTACACTTATTTAAATCTGGATGTACTAGTCAGCTGTCTAGTTCATGTCCAGAAAATTAACATCCAGTTGGAGCCACTGAAAAGAACCCCTCTAACTTCAGTTAGAATTGAATCAGATCTTCAAAGCAGGTCTACACAGTAAAGAGGAAAAAAAAAATCAGTGGCTGACACAGGCTCAGAGGGCTCCAGTTGTAGGGGTCTGTTATTGCAATGCTGCCTTTCGGTCTTAAACTGGAGCCTGGCCTCTCACCTCACAGAGTCCTAGAACAGACAGAGGTCTACACGGCAATGAAACAGCCCTGCATCCCAAGTCCCTTGGCCAGAGTTGGCTTGCCAAACGTGGCTTTTCCTTGGCTGTGTAGAAGCATCCTTTGTCATCAATGCAGCATCTGACTGAAGGGAGGAAAACCAGCTAGTTTTAAGCAAACTCCACATCTGATATTTTCAGGAACAAGTGAGTTTCTTCGTTAATTCTTTGGTTACCACATTTAGACTGATCTTCTACTTTTAAGTAAAAAAATAAAATAAAAAAAAGCAGACCATACATAATTTTCTTTGCCAGTATCTGGTGGTTTATGAGTGAAATATCCCAACCTAAATTTAAAAACCTCACTCACCAAGTGAAGTAGTTTTTAGACCAAATTTAGTCAAAAATTGCAGTGTGACAAATTGAAATAGAACTAAAATTGTGGAACAAAAGATGTTGGGAATCAGTTTCCAAAAGTGTCTGTTATCTGTTCCCAATGCTGCTTTTATACTGAACCAAGCCACTTCCCAGACAGATTCATTTAATAAAGTGGCAAGATGATGTCCTCATAATTCCTTCAGTTTATTGACTTTTTCCTTTAAGGAAGCCAATTAGTCTCCCAACTCACTCCCTACATCATAAAAAGTCAGTTCATCATCATTAAAAATTGCTAGGGACTGTACAGAATGGTCTCTGTACTTTATAGCTTAGCCACTGATCCTCCACAGTGCAGGACTGTGTCTACACTGGCCCCTTCTTCGGAATAGGCATGCTAATTTCGAACTTTGGAATAGGGAAATACCCCCCGCGGGATTTAAACAAACATGGCCGCCGCTTTTTTTCCGGCTTGGGGGAAAGCCGGAAAAGAGCGTCTAGACTGGCGCGATCCTCCGGAATAAAGCCCTTTTCCGGAGGATCTCTTATTCCTACTTGCAAGTAGGGGTCTGTGCATCGTGACTCCGG